ACCGGATGGTGTTTTTCTTTCGGATAGGGACAAGACGACTTGGTGGTTTCGCAGAAGGTACTGTGAGATAAGAAGCCGCCGCGGTAGCCTAATTAAAGCAGTCAGCATACCTGGACGACCGAGCGACAAGCTTACGATTGGTTTACCGGACACATGTTGGACTTTATTAGCAGGTGGCAGAGGATGACTGGCAGACAATTCGGACACGATGGACTATCAAGGGTGAGAAACCCTTTTCCACTAGAAACCCGGACCAGCTCACCGTGGCCCGTCCCCTACGTTGTTCCGTTGCGTCCAAAGCCAACTCGAGGCCCTTTCGGCTGCGTCGCCCAGTTTTTTAAGTGTTCGTTTCCGTTCATTACGGCGCAATCCTCGTTCTTTAACCACATTGTACAATGAAGTGGAGACGAGACCTCGCGCTCCCACTTCGACGGCAAAGACATGTACCGTGTACACCTCGTTTCTCCTCAGACCGGCTGCTAAATCACTGTATTTCTCGAGCTTGTACAGGTGATTTTCGTCCAAACGCGACTCATACGGGACGGTCAACTCAATCAGGATGAGCTGTCGTTTCTCCGCAGAGTGGAGAACTATGTCAGGTCGCAGACCGGTCTTCCGGATTAACTCGGGTTACCGTTCATGGCCTGGCAGATCAACTGAATTAAAGGGTGGCCGAATTAGGAAGACTGCGAGATACTATGCCAGACGAGACCCACAGCCTAAAGCAGGAGCTAAGTCAAAAATAATTAAAATACACTGGGCAGGAGATTGTGGAGTGGACGTGACTGACCACGTCACATGGTATGGATGGACAATAGTAAGCAGAATGAACACGACGATATAAAGTTCATGCAGTGGAAACGTAGACAATTAATGTAAAGAACACGGGAATTTTGACGAGTTATGTAAATACAAAAACGTCCTTCCTTCTGTGCTGACTCACGAAAGGCAACTTGCATATCGAGTTCTAGTTTACAGCAAGCCTGCGATATCTGTAAATTTCGGCCCAACACATCGGATTTCTACAAACCCCTAATCATCGAAAACTCGTCATTTATGACATGCTTGTGAGGATGAAGGAGGAGAGGGCTGTGGGTCTAGTCTCCCGTCCTCCCCCTCCCCCAATCGAAAATTGTCGAACCGCCCAAAAGAAACTGCCAATTACTGTCTTTATTTTATCACTTTTGTGGTGTAGGCAGGTGGAAAATGGGGGGAGGACGGGCTTGGGGTGGGGTCTTTGAGCCTGATGATTTACGGCCGCATGGCTAGTTCTGTCGCCACGACTGTGCAGTTGAAAATTTTATTTTACCCCCCCCCCCTACCCGACAGAAAAAATCCGTAGCCTTACCGAGGATTCGAACCCAGGTCTCCCCCTTGAAAGCCCTGCATTCTAACCGTTCGACCAGCGGCTCCAAAAATTGCAAAGTTAGAAAAGACAAAACACTACAGCTGGAAATAAAGCAGACATACAAGGGATTATAGGGTTATAAATAGAACCAAACTAAGTATAGCCCTTCGACGCGGCCATTGCCAGACTTGCTATAGTAAATCAGAACCGAGGGGAAATACCAAACAACGATCTACCCTTTGTCAAAGTAAATGTCCTCTTCTCACAGCATGTTAAAGCCATCTATCTGTTCTATACAACGGAAATGACATCACAGTTAAGGAAGCCAAGCTGTAAAAGGGACAGTTGCTGAAGCTGTGATCCAGCTTCGATTGTAGGGCGTTCATTTCCTGAGATTGTGTTGTCTCCTCTAATTCAAAATAAACATCGCAAGTGATTGGTCGCCCCAGAATTGTCCAAAATCTAAAGGTATGTACGATTTTCTTTGTTATTTTATCCTTTTTTTTTTTTTTTAACCTGTCTCTGGAAGATCTTTAAAGCCCGGTACGAGTTAAGAGTACATAATAGAAAAAGTTTAAAGAGAAGGTTTAAAACTGTGACGTCTGTGGAAACAAGAAGTATCACTATAAAGAGTCACACTGAATTTTTCGATATCGTGTCGAGTTTAAGATTATTTTATTTCAGAGCTCAACGAACTATATAAAAAGTCTTTATTGCATAGTTTTCTTCGTTTAGCTAAAGTATATTGTTGAGTTTGATCACACAGCGAACCGAAGCCATAGGGTAAATTAAGTTTATTTTCCTTTCAGGTTTTACAGCCTTCCTGAAGAAACATGCAACTTTCGACGTTGAAGACTGCAGTAATTTAGGCCCCGGGTTTATCTTAAATAGGAACACGGGTTATACGGTAGAAATATCTTGGAACATCTTTAATATGCCATAGAAAAATAATGCAATTTATATTTTCAACTCTTTTAGTAACAGAATGTAAAATACAGGACCTTTTCCCCTCACATCAGTGGCGCATAAAGTGTTACATTCATTTTTAGGAGATTAAGTCGGCACTCGGTGTGTGATCGGTCAACACCACACCGGCCGCCACTACTTTCCAGCTCTTTCCCTCGTACCCAATTTCGTCTGGGTCGACCTGATGGTAACTTTAAAAAAAAAAACTTCCTCTCAATATGGATTTGAACCCAAAATCCTAGGATTGGTAGGCGAGCGCTTAGCCACTGTACAAACAGAGGCTCCTGAACTCTGTTAGTACTGGCTACTTTACTGGAAATCTGTCTATCTCCATAATTTCTATGTTAAAGCAAGCAGGGCATGAGTCCAAAGAACAAACGCTCGAAAAACTTCATTGTGGTTCTGAAGAAGATATACGAATAAGTAGAAGTATCATTTTCAATCACCAAGTGCTTAACAGAATGTCACTCGATATGACACGGCTGTCTCTTTCTCTAGCCAGTCTCTCCAGCCCATTGTGCTTTCATAGCCAATGTATTTTCCAAATCTTGTATCCACATCCTAGAGGTCTGCCTCTGCCTCTATTTCCACAAACTGTAGCCTCCATCACCTTTCTCTCCAAGCTATAATGATGTTTAACAATGCTCTAAAGTCTGTTCTTTTAATATGACTATAAACAAGCATGGGGTCTGTGGCAGATCTTTGAAGAAAAGAGAGGGGCTTGCGTGTCTTATTTAAGTAGAAACCACTGTTTTAGACACGTTTTAACATAGTTAAACAGCAGAAAAACCAGTGAATGTCACTGGGGAACCACCATTATATCTCTAATATATTATAATTCGACTAATGCGTTCCTTGATGACTAACTGTAATTCAGTTCAAATATATTGAAATACATTTTAGAAGATTTTTTAATTATCGGTAGTAATTTGTAACTGTAAATTATAGCGAGCAACGATAGGAGTAATAAGGTGCCCCTGCCTCTATATGTCTAAGCAGACACACTCAAAAAATGTAGAAAATAAATTACCAGATGAAATATAGTGACACTACTACTTTCCTTGAGTAGTAATGTATCAGTATCACTATAGGGGGAGAGCCAGACCTAGATACAGAACTTTGAATGACAGGACAGGCCTTTGGCATGCAACCATGAAGTCCACTTCATTTGACCGTCAAGGGTGGAGGGAGCTGATGACCCAACGACACGCAGTGTTCACCGAACGATGATGAAGGATGTATAAACCAACGGAAAGTTTTGGTTGTTCGTCCAAACCTGGGCTTTGGTCTTGATCAAGAATTTGAGTTTCTGTGCACATCCATTTACATATATTACTTATTTGTGTGCACACTGTTTGTGCTTTGCCTCTCAGGCAGATGCATTCCGACATTAGAGGAAGCACTTCTAATAAGTTGCCTGCTTTGACATGCCCCAAATGTATACACAGTATTCGCTCACCAGGAATTAAATGCATAAACATTTTCATAGAGGCTATTTTCTTGAAAAACGTCACCATTACGTGACATATTCCGCTATATTTAGGTCGAATTATAGTAGCTATATATTGTATCATGGCTACAAAAAGTGTCTGGAGGCTAAAAGGGATCACTTTAAGCAACTGAGTAACTTCACACCTCACATTAACATTGATGCATTTCTTCGCGTCTGAATAAATTTAGTATCACAATGTTTATACATGTTGTTATTTTAAAAACACCAAACAACACATTGCTACCGCAGTGTATTCGAAGGCCGTAAATGTTGTACATGTAGATTACTGCTGGGTGATTACTGTGTATAAATTTTCGGTTAACTCTGTACACGCACACATACGCATATATATATATATATATATATATATATATATATATATATATATATATATATATACGCATAAACACATAAAAACTCACACACATACACACACATACACACAGGCACACACACATAAATAAATATATATATATATATATAAATATATATATATATATATATATATATATATATATATATATATATATATATATATATATATATATAAACGCACACACAAAACACACACACATACACTGGGGACTCGAAACTTTGCCCAAATACCCAGGAGCTCTAGATAAGCGAACATGTTCTGCAGGTAGGCTTTTTACATACAGTGTGTCTGACCAGTCAGTATTCGGGTGGAAACCAGGCTGTACGGATCAGTGGAGGGCGTGCTTGGCACTGCAGCCATCTGAAAACCACTGGCAGGGACAACGAAGAGAATGAAACAGAAGATGTGTGGGATTGGGGGCAACTGCATAAATTGGTGCTCTGGCAGTATCTTACCCCAGGATGACATCATGAGACAGTACACTATTTTAGAGGGTGGTAAGAGCGGGTTTCCCGGCTTTCTGATGATTTTAACTACCCCAACACGTCTAGTACTGAGCCTAACACCAACCCACCTACGTCCCACGAAAGAGTGCAGCCTAGGTCCCACTATTGCATGTAGCCTATCTACCATCCCCTAAAATATTCGACTGTCTGGATTTCCCGTATTTGGAGTGAAAAAGAACGAAAACACCCATAAATTCAGTCTACTGTCCTGAGTAAATAAATGAAAACATGATTAATGTTCATAGCGAGAACAAAGTAAAACATTGATACAACAACACGCTAGAGTAAACATATTAAAACAAAACTACTCACCGAAGAAAATCAAAAGCAGATCGGACATAGCCAAGCTGAACAAGTAGTAATTTGTTGTGGTCTGCATACAGCTGTTCCGTACAATGACCAGACACGTACAAATATTCCCAATACTCCCAGTGATGAAAATGACGGAATAAACAATAGTTAGCAGCACTGCCGAAGCAAAGTCCTTCTGTCTTGGCCCCAGCATATCCAACATTAATTTCTCCACACTGGTAGTGTTGTTGGCCACCTGAACGTCTGTTTGGTCACTGGTTAATTGCTCCATTTTACTGATATCCTGATAGGAAATTCTGCGAAGAGGGTAAATAATTTTACAACTTCTCTTTCTTTTGCTGTCAATGTCTGCTTTGAGTCTCTACGCGCAGCAGTTTAACAGACGATAGGCAGACGAGGCAGGTGGCGATTCTTTTTTAATACGATATGATGGTTTGCGATAATAACAACATTTAAGGATTTTATGGTGTGTTTTTTTTTTAAATCTTTTTATTTACATCGTCCAGCAAAGTCAAAACACGATTTCATCGTCTTATTTGTGTTTATAGTTTTTGTCAATGGCATTTTTAAAACATTCGTTTCTGTCATATTTAGGATTATCATTCGGAAAGGTTCAAAACTTAAGTCTCAGTTTGCACAACTCTAAATCTTCATGCTAAAAATGTCTCCCATGCCATTTCCTGTTCCTCACAACACTTGAAGGTGTACACCAATAAATCAAAAGACACGTTTTGTTAATAACAATATGACATCACAAAATAAAAAGAATCGCTTCCTATCAATCCACTCTTAAATTAATAAGAAGAAATATCACTGAAAGTAAAGGTCAAATTTAGTTATGTTTTTTTAAATATATTTTTTACGACAATGGCGCATCAGGCTAACATCACGCTGCCGCGTTTAATTCCGAGTACATTACCTGGTACCCAGTTTAGGCTGGGTCGACCTGGAAGCCAAGGTTAATTTTGAAAAAAACAGTAGCTTCGACATGGATTTGAACCCAACATCTTCGGGCAAGCATCAACCTACTACGCTACTGTGACTGCTCCTGGGAAATTCGTTGACTGGATAAAATACGGTACCATCACGCAATGCCAAAATAGGTCATAAGACGTACGACTGATATCTTTGTCTTTCACATATTGTCATCAGAAGTGAGGTAGGCTTAGTTCGTCCAATCAGAAGCGAGTTGTGTGTAGCAGTGTGTAAATGGGGAGACCAGCGTAAAATTCACCGAAAGTTCACTCAGTTGTTAATCCAGCTGTGTAACTGACTGTAGATGTTAGGGGTGCTGCGTGGTCTTGATGCATGGTGTCCGCCTTGAGTGCTAGAGGTCCCGGGTTCAATCCCCAGTAAGGGCTGGGATTTTTTCACGTGGACTTGGACTTCTAGTACTTCCCCCGGTCTAGGAAGTGGGGTCGGACGCCCGTGTGCATTGTTGGGCACGTAGACAATCCTATAGCATTTGGAAATCTAAAAGAGAAGCCTAACAGTAGCCCAGACAAAGTGTGGAATTAAACATTTACATAACGTATTTACGGAATCTCGCTGGTGCTACAGAGCCTGTGCATTGTGCTGAGCTTCTTCGGACTCAGACTTGAGTTAGAAGAAGAACGGAGCACTTACCCGTTGCCATGATGATCCGTTGTTCAAACTTCAAACTTCAAACTGTAAATGGTACTTAAGTTAATGTTGTGATTTTTCCTTTATCTCTACACCTACTTAAGAAATTTGAGTGTGTGCATTTTATGTTGCAGTTAGTTTTCTTAGACTGCGGTTTTGACAGATATTACCACAGCCTAATGCCTAGACTTAGTGAGCTTTTAAATGAGCAACGTGCTCATGTGGCTTCCTATTCTGCTCTTATCATATCCACAGCATGGCATTGGCGGGGAATGCAGTTTCACATAGACTCATTGGCTATAACAGAAAGATATATGTGTGTATGTTTTTGGGTGGGTGGTTGTTATGACATACAAGAATGGTTTATATCTATTCTGATTATCTATTCTGTGGTTACGACTCCATATCCTCTCGGGTATGATAGAGAACCTCGAATTTCTCAAGTTAAAACCTCCGTGAGTTGGAAATCACAAAGAGCAGACGAAGACAACTTTTCAAGATTAGCAATAACACAGACACACACACACGCACACACACACACATACACTCACGCACGCACGCACACATACAACACTATCTCCCTCATGCACACACACATGATTTATAGCATGATAATTCTGGTATTCACAGATTTAGACCTTCACTGATGCTACGAACTACTTGCACCATGCTGAGCTTCTAGCTTGGCAATATGGAGCCAAAGATGTCACAGAAAGACTTACCACCGAAGTTTACTTTCGAATAAGCTATAAATACACACTGCAGTTACCAGTGCGTTAACCAGGTTTCCTGCCAAAGGTCTGACCAAGTCTACAAAACGGACAACACATTATGCGATGTTTTCAATTCAATCCAAACATCCTTTGGCGCACCATGAACTGTTGAGTAAACTGTGAATTTTTATAAACTCGATAATCCGGTGCCTTGTAAATTTAATTCCAATGTTCGTGTAGATGTTTCCTCTTGGAATGAAACACAGCCATAATTTGTTCAGCGAAGTTCTAAAAGAGCTTATGTAACGATGGTAAGTGAAGTTTGGCTGGGAACTTCGAAAATGAGCTGGCCATTACGATGTCTTGGTGGCACGATGTCTGTGGAGAATAAATAAGTTGATTAAACATTGTTACATGTTGACTGATTGTTACTAATTTGAAATGGTAACGCACTGAGGCAACAAGTGCTATGTAACATAAGATTTCAATGAGAGGAAACATAATAATACATAGGAAGAAGAACGAGTAAACTTTGATGTAAGTGGCAGTGAGTGGGTGTGTGGGTTGGTGAGTAGGTAAGTATTATGAGTGAACGAATGAATTGATTGGGTCAGTGAGTGAATGAGTTGCTGAGTGTAGAAGCTAAGTATGGGTTGGCAGAGTTAGTAAGTGAGGAAAAGCTGGAGTGAGTGAGTAAGGAAGGAAATAAGTGAGTGAGAAAGAGAGGTAGGGCTGAATTGGGTGATTGAATGAGTGAGTATAAAAGAGATGGAGGGAGTGAGTGAGTGAGTGAGTGAGAGGATGTATGAGTGACTGGGTAAATGAATACAGAAGTGAGAGACTGGGTGAGTGAGTAAGCGAGAAAGGGAAGCAGATAAGGGAGTAAGTGTGTTTTGGATAGTACACACGCATGTAGGAGGTAAGTGAGTGAGTGGGCTATGAGTTACTGGGTAAGTTAGAGAGGGAGGTAGGAAGTGAGTGAGTAACTGCGTGAATGAGTACGTTGGTGAGTTAGCGAGCTAGAGAGGGAGTGAGTGAGCGAATTTGCCAGCGGGCGAGGGGGCAGGTATTTGAGTAAGCGTTTCAGACAGTAATCGAGAAAGCCGCCGGGTAAGTGAGTAAGTGTGTGTGTGTGAGTTAGTGAGTGAGTAAGTGAGTGAGTGGGTGAGTCAACAAGCCAGTGAGTGAAAAAGTGAGTGAATGAGTGAGTGAATGAGTGAGTGAATGTGTGAGTGAATGAGTGAATGAGTGAGTGAATGAGTGAGTGAATGAGTGAGTGAGTGCTCTAGTGGGCGAGGGAAAAGGTATTTGACTGAGCGTTTCAGACAGTAACGGAGGAAGCGGCCGGGTAAGTGAGTAAGTGGATGTTTGAGTGAGAAAGAATGAGTGAGTGAGTAAGTCAGTGAGTGAGTCGGTCAGTCAGACAGCCATTTAGTGAGTTGGTGGGAGAGTAAGAAACAGACAGGAGAATAAAAAGAAGGAAATGGTAAATATAGGGGGAAACATAGAGGGGGGAAGAAAGATGAAGCTAGAAAGAAGAGAGCGAGATATGACAAGAGGTGTTAGTAAGTATTGGTATGCAAATATTGACTAGATTAATCGAAGAATAGATAATGTCGACAAGAAACGTGTAATAAGTGCACCCTGAAAACAACACAATACCATTATTTGCCAAACAATGTGCTCTTTCAACAGTTATAGGTTCACCGGGGAATTTTATCTCAAGTACGGGATGAGAAAGTAGGAATTTTAAGCTGGTAAAATAAAAGTGCAACTGAAAACAAAAAAGGAACTGAAACCAAAGGAAAGAAAACAAGCAACAGGAAACTGATGCAGCGCTGATTGTGTTCAAATGAAAAAATGCTCAAAAAATAAAAGAATAGTGCTAATTTAACGTTAGAAATACCATAGAGATGCAATTTATCAACAAATTAATGTCTAGGCTACGAGGCATTCAGTTAAAATGTATCGATTTTCTTAACCTTTCTGTCCCACAAAGGGATTTACACGAAGCCAATCAACTATTCGCTCCCTTTCTGCTCGAATTAATTAATTAAAATTGATGTGTTTTACACAAAAAATAAAATCTTAAAGCATTAGTATTATCAAAATAATAACTCTTCAGAAAGTACCTAAAAAATCACATAATATTTTGATATGAAAACCTTTAATATTTTCTTGCCTTAAAACATGACTTGGTACAAGGCAGAGATGACAAGGCAGGACACGAAAGATCTAGATCCAAAATGTGGCTGACCTATAGGGCCTCCAATCGGAAAACAACACATCCAGCTGATCTAAAGGCTAGAAATGTAAAGACTTGACGATATGGTCAAGAATAACAGGGTAACTGAAAGACACACAAGGTTATGAGAAGAGAAAAAGACACCCAAAAAGAGGAGGAGAAGAAGGAGAAACAGGATGAGAAGCAGCTGCAATGGCAACAGCAGCAGCACCAGAAAAAGAAGAAGAGGATGATGAAGAAGAAGAAGAAGAAGAAGAAGAAAAAGAAGAAGAAGAAGAAGAAGAAGAAGAAGAAGAAGAAGAAGAAGAAGAAGAAGAAGAAGAAGAAGAAGAAGAAGAAGAGTTGAAGAAAAAGAAGAAGAAGAAGAAGAAGAAGAAAAAGAAGAAGAAGAAGAAGAAGAAGAAGAAGAAGAAGAAGAAGAAGAAGAAGAAGAAGAAGAAGAAGAAGAAGAAGAAGAAGAAGAAGGAGAAGAAGAAGAAGAAGAAGAAGAAGAAGAAGAAGAAGAAGAAGAAGAAGAAGAAGAAGAAGAAGAAGAAGAAGAAGAAGAAGAAGAAGAAGAAGAAGAAGAAGAAGAAGAAGAAGAAGAAGAAGAAGAAGAAGAAGAAGAAGAAGAAGAAGAAGAAGCAGCAGCAGCAGCAGCAGCAGCAGCAGAAGGACATCAGGCAATAAGAATGGAACTTGCCACTGTAT